AGCCTTTCTTTCATTTCTTTAGATGTTGCCTCCTGCATTAGCTTTGCCTCGTCCAGCTCTGTATAATTCTGTTGTAATTTGTTGTGCGTGTCTTCTGACTGCTGACTTCTCCTCTCGATTTCCTGAAGTGTACACTGCAGGTCTTCGTTTGTTTTCTCTAGTTGTTGCTTTAGCACCTGCATCTCAGTGTTTTTGCACTTCAAGTTGTCTGAAAGTTCCTCGAGTTCTGTGTTTTTTCTCAGCATGTCATTGAGCTTACTCTGCATCTCTGAGCATTGGTTTTGCAGTTTTTCCTTTTCCTCTTCTAGTTCAGTTGTTTTGTAGTTCAGTTTGTTATAAAGTTTTTGCAGGTTTTGGTTTTTCGTCTCAAAGTCCTGGAGAATTTCTTTGTTTTCTTTCTGCTTTATTTCCTGTTGTTCTTGGTCTTGAAGCAGCTCTTGATATTTGTGTAGTGTTTCATCAAGCTTTGTCAGCAGCGCTCCGTATTTTTCCTGCACACCTTGGAGTTGGCACTGCATGTCTCTCTGGTTAATGTCCAGTTTTTCTTTCTCTTCAAGGATTTCTTTATTCATCATGAAAAGCATGAAAAGCGAAACCATTAAAATCTCAATGGAGAGCGAGTCCTAACCAGGAGAAGCACCTCAGTCATCTACTACGATGCCTTAAGCAAATCTAGAGTTCAGTTCAATGCTTCATCAAGCATTACTTGCAAGCCTTCGTTGTGTTTCTCGATGTTCTGAAGCTTGCAATCCAGATGTTTCTGTTTCATGTCTTGCTGTTCTTTCTCTTGAAGGAAATCTTTATTTCTTTGCAGTGCTTTATCAAGCTTTTGCATTTGAAAATAAACATTGGGATTTTAACACCATTACAAGAAGTGTTGTTAATCATTCTTTTTAAATCATAATCAGGTTTCCACAAATTGTTTTTTAATTTAGTAGAACTCAAAATGTTTGTCAGTGGGTCAACAATTCATAATGCACCTTCAGGAACATCAAGTTATTCTTAGTACTGCATACTTGCAATGAATAAGTTGTCCTAACAGTCATCTTAAGTAAACTTTACTCAACTTTTTGGAGGTAACGAGTTTGCATAGTTTTTTGAGTTCTGGGAACTTATTAGATTTTACAGTGCAGTAGTTTGAACATTTATAATAACATTTCTGCAAACTGGAACAAACCTGTTTCCTTTTCTAGAACTGTTGCTAACACTTATGAGA